CAGATAGTACACATTTCTGCTACTGAGTGTTGGTGATGGAGGGGTTGGATGCTTGTCAATGTGGTGCCAAACAAACAGGCTGCTTTGTCCTGGGTGGTGTTGAGCCTTTTGAGTGTTGTTGGAGCTGCATTCATCCAGGCAAGTGGGGAGTATTCCAACACACTCCTGACTTGTGCCTTGTAGATGGTGGACAGGCTTTTCAAGGTCAGGAGGTATTCCTAGCTTCTGACCTGCTCTTGTAGCCACCATGTTTATGTGGTGATCCATTTGAGTTTCTGGTGAATGATAACCTACAGGAAGTTGATAGTGGGAGATTCAGTGTTGGTAACACCAGTGAATGTCAAGGGGTGGTGGTTAGACTGTCTCTCATTGGTGATGATCATAGCCTGGCATTTGTATAGCATGAATGTTACTTGCTATTTGTCAGTCCAAGCCTGGATATTATCCAGATCTTGTTGCATTTGGACAGGAACTGCTTTAGTATCTGAGGAGTCATGAATGGTGCTGAACATTGTGCAATCATCAGCCAACATCACCATTCTGACCTTCTGATGGAGGGAAGGTCATTGATGAAGCAGCTGATGATGGTTGGGCTGTGGACACTATTTTGAGGAACTCCTGCAGAAGATGTCCTGGTGCTAAGATGACTGACCTCCAACAACCATGACCATATTCCTATGTGCCAGGTATGACTCCAATCAGTAGAGAGTTTGTCCCCGATTCCCATTGATTCTAGTTTTGCTAGGGCTCCTTGATGCCACACTTGGTTGAATGCTGCCTTGCTATCACCTCACCTCTCGAATTCAGTTGTAATGAGGTCAGGAGCTGAGTGGCCCTGGCGGAACCCAAACTGGGCGTCACTGAGCAGGTTATTGCTGAGCAGGTGCTGCTTGATAGCGCTGTTAGTGACACCTTCCATCACTTTACTGATGATTGAGAGTAGACTGATGGGACAGTAATTGGCCGGGTAGATTTGTCCTGCTTTTTATGTACAGGATGTCCTTACTATAATAGCGTGGCAAGAACTGCACACAATACTCAAGAAGAGGCCTCATTCACCATCAATGGGACATCCATGGCCTTACCCTTTCCTGTCTTTGTCATCTCATGGAGTCAAAGGGTCATTGAGGTCTCATTCATGTTCATCCCACCAGTGGGATTGTTTCTTACTTTCTGCTCTTCCCAGATGCTTCATGATTTTGAACACAGTTATCAATATTCCTCTCTGTTTTCCCAAACAGTTGAAATGTCTCCAATCTATTCCTCAAAAAAGAAGGTCCTTCACTCTGGAACCATTTGCAATGACCTTTTCTCCAGCCTCCCTAATGCCAAGGAAATCCAGCATAGCTACAATCATTCTTACCAACTCCTATAGATAGCATAGAAAGCATTCTTTCCAAATGCATCACAGTTTGGTATGGCAACTGTTCTGCCTAAGAGCGCAAGAAATGACAGAGAGTTATGAACACAGCCCAGTCCATCACGCAAACCAGCCTTCCATGCACCAACTCAAACTACACTTCCCGCTACCTCAGGAAACCAGCCAAAGACCCCTCTCACCCCGGTTATACTCTCTTCAATCAGGCAGAAGATACAAACATTTGAAAACACATACTAACAGATTCAAGAACAGCTCCTTCCCTGCTGTTATCAGATTTATGAATGGCTCCCTCAAACGGGCAGCATGGTGGCTCAGTGGTTAGCACTGTTGCTGCACAGCACCAGGGACCCGGGTTCGATTCCACCCTCCGGTGACTGTCTGTGTGGAGTTTGCACATTCTCCCTGTGTCTGCGTGGGTTTCCTCCCACAGTCCAAAGATGTGCAGGTTAGGTGGATTGGCCATGCTAAATTGCCCGTTGTGTAGATTAGGGGGATGGGTCTGGGCAGGATGCTCCAAGTGTCACTGTGGACTTGTTGGGCCAAAGGGCCTGTTTCTACACTGTAGGGATTCTATGATGTTAGGGTTGATCTTTCTCTGCACCTTCACTGTAGCTGGAACACTGCGTTCTGTTCTACAATCCTGATGTACTTATGTAAGGTATGATTTGTCTGGATAGCATGCAAAACACTACTTTTCACTGTATCTCAGTACGTGACAATAATAAATCAAATCAAGGATTCCATACCGTTCATTAACTGCTGTCACCACCCTATCCTGGCACTGTTACTAACTTAACCAAATCCTCCTGCTCCCGCAAGCCCTTTGGAATCGGACCTTTTTTTTGATCTGTCTCTCTGTTGTCTTTCAATCAAATTTAATCACCACATTTCCCACATTGAACTTCATCTGCCATTTGTCCACCCATTCCACCACCCTCTGCATGTCCCTTTCAAGTTTGACACTATCCTCCTAGACCATCAGTAGTTGAGTTGGTTGGACAGCTGGTTTATGATGCACAGTGACATTATGATAATGCTGTGGCTCTAAGAGGTTATTATGTCCTGGTGTTTTTTGAAGAGATGTTGTAAGGCAGAGGTGTAGAGTGGTCTACCAAAACCACAACAGTAAACAGCTTGTGAGGCCTTGGGGTTTATTTTTTAAGTTGGAACAATAAAAGCAGCCTGGCTGGGTGTGTTCAGCTCTCACAGACAAGAATGTCTAGTTTCTTTTTTTAGTTTTTAGGTTTAAATTTAAGCAGTCGCTGTTGGCAGCTTGAAGAATTGGAAGTTATTTTTCCCCTCTGTCATTTACAGCCAAAAGCTGGGGGGCTGTCTTCCTAGGTTGCATGTGAAACAAAATCTGGTTTGTTTCCTTAATCTGCCTTTTTGCCAAAGAGTGTGTTTATGGATGTTACTATATTGGAACAGTTAATTAGTAACAGGTACTGTATCTATTATTCAGTTAAGTTTGCCAATAAATTCCTCATTCTTTGGTTGTATTTTTACTACGGTGTTTGAATAAATTGTGCTTTTGCTTAATGTTGAGTGGTTTGATCAGTCACATGTATCTGGATCACAGAACTTAACGTTTGTCTTAAAAATATGAACAAGGTAGGGTCTGGGCTACCTTCTTAAAACATTTTGAGGTAGAGTTTGGTCTGGTCCATAATAATGCAAACAACATGGGCTCAATTCCTGCATCAGCTGAGGTTACTGTGTAGGCCTCTTGTACTCAACCTTTCCCCTCACCCAATGCTTGATGATCCTCAGGTTAAACTCACCATGTCTCTCTCTCTCTTTGTAATGAGAAAGCAGCCCAATGGTCTGGTAAGTCTTTACCTTTTTCATACTATCTTCCTGCTTCCAAATCACACATCATTGGCAATTTTGAGAATTGTGCCCGGTACAGCAAGGTTTATGTCAATAATGTATATCTGGAAGACCAGGGGTTTCGCCATTGACCCCTTGGAAATTACCCTACAAACCATTCCCGAGCCTGGTAAAAATCTATCACTGTTTTCTGTCAGTCAATTCTGTATCTATATTGCGACTGTTCCTTTTATTTAACATCTCCTAACTTTTCAGTTTAATGTTTCTGTATTGATAGAATCCCTCATGTGGAAGCAGGGCATTCAGCCCATCAAGTCCAGACTGCCCCTCCAAAGAGCATGCCACTCAGACCCACTCCATCCCTGGACATTATGGACAATCCATCTAACATGAACATCTTTGGATTCTGGGAACAAACCGGAGCACCCAGAGGAAACCTACACAGACACAGAGAGAATGTGTGAACTCCACACAGACAGTCGCCCAAGGGTCCAATCAAATCCAGGTCCCTGATGCTGTGAGGCAACAGGGTTAACCACTGAGCCATTGTGCGACCCTAAGGTGAGGAAGGCGATAGGTAGGACAGTGAGTTGTGAAGGGAATGAAAAAGAGCCTACAGAGGGATATGGATAGGTTGAGTGAGTGGGAAAAGATCTGGCAAATGGTATTCAATGTGGGAAATTATAAAATTGTCCATTTTGGCAGAAAGGAAAAAAAGCAGCATATAATCTAAATGCTGAGAGCTCTGAGATGCAGAGGGATCTGGGTGTCTGAGTGTATGAATCAAAGAAAGTGAGTGTACTGGTAAAACAAGTAATTGGGAAAGCAAATCAAATGTTATATTTTATCATGAGGGGAATTGAATGCATAGGGAGGTTATGCTTCAGTTGCACAGGGTGTTGGCGAGATCACAGTCATACAGCAAGGAAACAGACCCTTCAGTCCAACAAGTCCATGCTGAATATAATCCCAAACTAAACTAGTCCTACCTGCCTGCTCCTGGCTCATATCCCTCCAAACCTTTCCTGTTCATGTACTAATCGGGAGTAATGTGTACAGTACTGGACACCAACTTATGGAAGGATGTTAATGCAATGAAAGCAGCTCAGAGGGGTAGAATAAACTTGAATGAGCAAACTGCCTTAGAAGGAAAGGACAGACAGGCTAGGATTATACACTGTGGAGTTTGGAGGTGTCAGAGATGACTGAACTGAAACAAATCCTGAGGGGATTTGACCAGATGGGTATGGAAAGGATGTTTCTCTTCTGGGAAAATTAGAACCAGGGGGGTCAACGTTTAAAAATAAGGTATCTCCGTTTGAAACAGATGAGAAAACATTTTCACTCTCAGCGGGTTGAGTGTCTATGGAATTCTATTCCTCAACAGGTAGTGAATGCAGAACCATTCAATGTTTTGAAGGTAGATAGATAGATTTGGGATGACCAATGGTGGAGGAAGATTATTGGGGGAGATGCAGGAAGGTAGAGTTGAGGTTAAAATCAGATCAGCCATGAATAGCAGAACAGGTCTGATGGGCTGAGTGGCTGACTCTTGTTCGTGTGCATGTACGAACACCTTTCAAAGTCCATGTGCACTTTAATAACGTCACCCGCCCCCACCCCCATCAAGACTGTCCATTACCTAGGCAGAGAATGACAGCACGTTATTGGGACACTGTTTTCCCCAGAAGAGATCCAAGATTATGGGACATTAGCCCGGATGGGAGGAAGAAATCCAGGATCGGAATAATTTTCCAAGAATTAAATAAAAGACATACACACATACACACACAGAGGCACGTAGTTTTACCATTTGCCTTATTTCTCAATTAGATCTCCAGCAACTATCTGATTCCTGTCAATGGACAGAACAGCAAAGGAGGGGTTCACAGAGGAGGGAGGGGTGGCCTCGAAACTCTTCCGCAAACGGGGGGGAATGTGCGAACCTTCGGCTGCCCTGATCGTGAGAGCCATCGAGAGGTAGCAGGGGATGAGAAGGAGAGGCAAGCATCGGGGAGGGGACTGGTTGCTGTGAAATATAAAACCAGGGTTCACACACTGCGATTGGGGGAGCAAGAAAGGGAGGGGTCTGTAATCGCTGGGCTGATGAGAAAGGGTGGGATTTGGGAATGGGCACAAAGATCCTGCTGGACCATCAGTAAGTGTAGTTTTCAGTGTAAAGTGAGTAGTTAGCTGCTATATTGGTATCGCCTGATGGAGAATATTCACCTTTACAGGCCAGGCTGTTAATCTGTGCGAAAAAAAAGGAAAAAAAATCATCAATCTCCATTTAGACATGCTCCCTTACATTATATCAGATCCATTAGTTATGAAAACAAACAAGGAGGCTTGTGTCTCAAAGGACAGTCCTTACCTCATAAACAGGTCAACAGGGGATGTCTATCAAGTATCTGTTTTACTCAATGTGTAATGCTCCCGACTGAAACTCATGAGGTGTTTATGAGACCCAAGACAGGACAGAAATCAGAGTGCACTGTTGGAGGGTCAGCACCAAAGGAGTGCCAGTTCCAAGGGAGTGCCACATTGATGCTCCACTTATTTAAATTGGGCTGTCTTTTCCCAGAATCTTGCTTTGTACAAGAATAGCAAACACAGAATCACTCCTTTGCAGCACCTGGTGGATAGCTTGTGCAATGCCAAACACTTTATCTCCCTCTCCCCATTGGCACACCTCCCACCGCACCCCCTTCCACATCCCTTCTCCTCCGGCCCTCATCTTCCCCCACCCTTTACCCACCTTGGCTCTCTTGGCATAGGCCTCTTGTGCCAGCTCTGCGTTGTCCTCTTTGCCAGACCAGGCAATGAGGGCCGAAGCCTGCAGGGCCCGGCCAAAGGAAAAGCTCAGCTTCCACGGTTTCCGCAGGGGACACAGGTTAATGGCGTTGAGGTTGACAGAGGCCTCCTCCTCACTCTGACCCCCGGACAGGAAACAGATACCTGAGAAGGAGACATACAGACAGACAGAGGGAGGGAGACAGACATGGGAAGGAAGTGTGAGAGAATGAAAAATCACTGAATTGTCAAACCGGGCCTAGTATTTATACAGAGCCTTTGAGAATGTGCGATATGGAGAGAGACAGACAGATGGGAGAAGAGAAAAACAGGAGTAAAGGTAGAGGGAGAGAGAGAGAGAAAGGGACAAAGGGGACATTCAAGGTAGGGAAGGAGATGAGGATAGAGGAGAAGGAAAGGATGAAGAGGAGGAAAAATGACAATTCAAGGGAAACATGGGAGAAGAGAGAAAGATGAGGAGTGGGGAGAGAGATAGAAAGATGGGGAGTGGGGGCAGAGAGAAAGATAGGGAGGGGAAAGAGAGAGAAGGATGGGAAGGGAAGAGAGATGGAAAGAGAGAGAAAGTTGGGGCAGGTGGGAAAGAGATGGAAAGATGGGAAAGAGAAGGCAGCAGACCACAAAAGAGAGAGAACGACAGACAGACAGATGTCTGTCAAAAGGGAGAGAAAACTGTAGACAGCAAGACACTTAGGCAGAGAGAAATAGAGGAGCAGAAATTGAGAGAGAAACTGAATGCAAGGGAGAAACACAGGACAGAATGTAAGAAATGGAGAGACTGAGAAAGTCAGAGATATTGAGATAAACAGATGGACAGACATGAAAGAGAAAGAAAGAGAGAGTGCAACGAAGAAACAGAATGTGGGAGAGATCGAGGGACAGAGCGAGACAGACAGAGAAAGAGAGGAACAGACAGTTGCCTTACCTGGCACAGCTGCAGGGACAGTGCGACGCAAAGCAGTGACGGTTGCCATGCCAACTTCTTCTGGACTGAACTTCCTGGTACAGCAGTGTCCAGCAGTCACCATGTTGGGTTTAAGCAGAGTCCCCTCCAGGTAGACATGGTGATCAACGAGGGCCTTATAACAGGCAGTGAGGACCTGTGGAGGAGGTCAGAGAGAGAACGCAGACCAGTCAGCGTGCGACATGGAGCAAAACTCAACTTGGTCAGTTTCCCCCTCATCCCATCTCGGCGCAATAGCAGAATCCCCCTCCACGCCCTCCAGCCAATCAGAAAGGTCCCCCCAGATCCAGCCACTCGGTGAGGCCTCACCTTCTCAGTCAAGTACTGGCACCGCTGGAGGTCATGGCTGCCATCAGTCAGGATCTCCGGCTCCACGATGGGCACTAGGCCTTGCTGCGGACAAGCAGACAGCGGGTAACTCCTATCCATCACAACAACAACAAAACTCACATTCCTGCAGCTCCCCTCACACAGGAAACCACCCCACGGCATTTTGCAAGGAGACCCACATCAATTTCAGATTCAACGTCACCCCCCTGAACACTTGTAAATCAAAAGCTTTCATTCCTCACAACGAGCAACATTTTCTTTCAGGGTTTTTTTTTAAGCAAACTCCGAACTTAACTTTCCCCAGTTTTCGTGGTGGGATTTGAACTCACGTTGTGAGGATGGTACAAGGGGGTGCAGATGGGATAAGAGAGTGAACAAAAAATTTGGAAGACGGGAGGTAAAATAAAAGCGGGGAAGTCAACTTTAGCAGGAGGAATAGATCAGCTGCACATTAAATAAGGTGAAAAGTTGCCCTGAGATAACAAGGTGTAGAGCTGGATGAACACAGCAGGCCAAGCAGCATCAGAGGAGCAGGAAAGCTGACGTTTCGGGCCTAGACCCTTCTTCAGAAAAT